GCATTTGAGCACTTCTGGCTTGTATGACGAACAAGCATCCAGCAATAGCAAAGAGAGATCTTTCAAAAACACTTCATAGAGCCACACGACTTACTATATATGATTATTTTGAACTGTTTACGTTTTCTTGGGTCTGGACTGAGGTTATCTTTTTCCTGTACAAAGAAACACTGTTCAAACCCAGTGAAATATCTGGAAAAGGTACGTTGTCTCCAGGGCAATTCTAGAGAGGCACAAATCACTGCAGCATGTTGGGACGAGGGTTATGCCTACCAAGCCTTGTTCTACACTATCAAGCACCTTAAAGGGAAAGAGGTCTTTGGATCTGATGACAGTACAACAGACCTTATGGTTACACTAACTCCTGCAGAAGACTCCGTGGTTGCTTCAACACCTGCAACAGGTCCTGCAATTCAATCAAAGAAAGAATCTTTGGCAGTATCAGTCATACACACACACACACACACACACACACACACACACAAAAGCTGTATAAGTCAGCTTCCTTAGTAAGGTCAGAAACTCCTGCTAGAACTAGGATAGAAGATGATGAGGATGAACCAGGGCCATCTCGAGGATGGGAGGAGGAGGAAGAGGAGTCAGAACTCAAAAACACCTGATCCCCAACTCTCAGTGAGCGCAAGATACACAAAAATTCTTCAGATATAACCCAGATGAGCATACTGTCAACTGGTTGCTCCAATGCCGGGATAACAAGTCCAATAGCCTGCACTTAGCGGGCAGTGAATCCAGGCAGCTGGGATCCCCTTTTAGGGAAGAGGGTACTGGCAAAGCAGTTGGAAAAGGGACATAAGCCTTCATCCTATGAAAGTTACTGTTTTCCGCCATGAAGGAAAGATATCCTTTCAAGGAAGATCTGGTACGTTTCCCAAGTAGACCACGTAGAGAAACACATCCAGTACCTGAGGGGATTACTTGTGCTGGAGGTGATGTATAACATTGACGTGGATGAAGATCATTTATTGCAAAATGACAACAGGTGCCCATGATCTATATTGCAAAAATTTGTATAAAATGTAGTATCACTGTATGCCAGAGCACTCACAGCAGTGGACTTAAAAGATAATGAAAAACTAACAGTGATTGAAGTAGCTAGCCTACTTCATCAATACAAAGATTTCTCTTTCTCCCTGTGGACCTGTGTCTCAGCTGTGAAGACACTGGGAAGTTCCAGCAATTCAAAGACAATACGTCTTACTCCCTACCTGCTATAGCCCAGTATCGACTACTAGAAGGAAGTACTCCTCTGCCCTAAGGAGGGGACATACTGGGTACACGCTGCGAGGCACCCTGCAGTTTACCTGCATGGCTATGGAGAAGGTCTGAGAAAGTGGGATGGAAAAATCACCTCACAGATATGAGACTTGCAAGGAAGAACAATTGAGAAAGGGGATTCTTTCCAGGGAAATGGCTGCTCCAACTTTCAGTGGGCAGTCTCCAGGACAGAGAAGATGGTCTGACCCTATATCTGAGGTTGGAAGTGAGCCTTTTAGTTTGCATTTGTGACAAGTTTGTGACGAATAAAATAAACAGGACTAGAGGGGTCTTGCCTCCAGCCAGGTAGAGGGACTATCAGGTTTAGTGTGGATTTGAACATCAGAACCACAGGAGTATGAGATTTTAGTGGACACTGGTGTGCTGCATACTCATTGCTACCACAGTAGTGCACAGGCAGAAATATCACACCAACCAATCTAATTCCCCTCCACAAGCTGATTCATCAATTGGAAAGCCAAGGATTAATTGGCAAGACTCATTTATCCTTTAACAATCCCATTAAGCCAGCACAAAAGACCACTGGAGAGCAGAGGATAACAGTGTACTACTGTGGCTTGAATGAAGTCACACCACTACAGAGCGCTGCTGTGCCAGACATGCTAGAGCTTCGATACAAACTGGAGTCAAAGACAGTCAAATTGTAATTCACAAATGGTATCAGGCAGTGCAGACCACAGTTTGCTTTTTCTTGGAGGGTTATTGAGTACACCTGGAATTGAATATCTTAGGGACGGAAACACAGTCCCACCAATTGCAGTGGGCTGATTCAGACAGTATACTGCTGAATGTCATCAATACGCTGATGACATCAATATACCGTGGAGCAACATAGCAGAGGAACCTCAACCCTTCTTCATAGAAAAGGCACTCCAGCCCACTGATCGCCTTAGTGGCCCTCCTCTGGACCTGTTCTAAGAGCTCCATGTCTTTCTCGTACTGGGGGCTGCAGGCCTGGTTGCAGTACTGCAGATGGGGCCTCACAAGAGCCGAGCAGAGGGGGACAATCACCTCCCTCTCCTTGCTGGCTACTCCTCTTTTAACACAGTCCAGAACACAGCTGGCTTTCCAGGCTGCAAGCGCACACTGCTGGCTCATGCTCAGCTTCTTGTCTACTAGGACCTCCAAGTCCTTCTCTGCCTTCTCTGTCCCTCTGGATGGCTTCCCTTCTCTCCACTTATCCACTGCACCACTGAGCTTGGTGGCATCTGCAAACTTGCTGAGGGTGCACTTGATGACATCGTCTGTGTCACTGATGATGTTGAAGAGCACTGGTCCCAAGACTGAGCTCTGAGGGCCTCCACTCTGATACGGAACCATTAATCACAACCCTTTGGCTGTGACGACCCAATCAGTGCTTAATCCACCGAACAGGTCATCCTTCAAATCCACACCTCTCCAATTTACAGAGAAGGATGTGGTGAGGGACCATGTCAAAGGCCTTGCAGAAATCCTGGAAGATGACATCTGTTACCCCTCCCCCATCCATGATGCTGTCACTCCATCATAGAAGGCCATCAGACTGGTCAGGCATGATCTGCCCTTGGTGAAACTGTGCTGGCCATCTCAGATCATCTCTTTGTCTTGTATGTGCCTTAATATAGCTTCTAGGAGGATATGCCCCACAGTCTTCCCAGGCACTGAGGTGAGGCTCACCGGCCTGTAGTTCCCCAGGTCTTCCTTTCTCCCTTTCTTAAAAATGGGAGTATGGTTTCCCTTCTTCCAGTCATCCAGGACTTTATGGGACAGCCATGATTTTTCAATTATGATGGAGAGCAATGACATCAGCCATCTCTCTCAGAACTCTAGGACTTACTTACATACATTCAATTTCATGAGGAGGTCTTGGACACGTTCTACTGTTGCAGTGGGACAGAATCCACTCCCCACACCCTGACCTAGAGGCTCAGGGTCCTGGCAGATATGGGAAGCCTGACCACCCAAGAAGACTGAGATAAAGCAGTCACTGAGTACCTCAGCTTTTTCTACATCTGAGGAAGCCAGCTCCCCATTACCTTTCATCAGAGGGGGAACATTCTCCTTGGCCAATCTCCTGCCTATATATCTGTAGAACCCCTTCGTGTTATCTCTCACATCCCTCGCCAAGTTCAGCTCCATCTGTGCCTTGGCTTTCCTAATCCTATCTCTATACACACAGACAACAGCCCTGTACTCCTCCCAGACTACACAGCCCTGCTACCACTTCCTGTATACTTTCCTCTTTTCCTTGCAAGTCCTAGCACAGCCTTTTCAAAGATAGTTCATGAAGTAGGTTTTGGGCCAGCCGGGGCAGGACAAGATGTAAAAAACATTGTTTACATCTGGCAAGAATAGCCCCAGTTGACGCCTACGACAGAAAGCAGGAGTAGAGAGTCAAGGTTGACTCCTACGGTTTTTTGAACTGGGGATACAGAGGAACTTCCAGAGAATGGTAAGCAACATGCCTTGTTCAATTCAGGTTCCTGTCATATTGCAGGAAAGTGTCAGAGCTGGAAGGCTGCTGCATGGAGCCCTACATGAGAAGATGAAACTGGGCACTGTGGCCTGAATTAAGCAAGGTGTTATTCCATACCACAGAACATCACATGGAAGGCCACAATTGTTAACTGTTTCCACTTCTCTCCATCATTCCACTTGGAGGGAAAGCGAGCGAACAGATGTATGGTGCTCAGATGCATGCCAAGCAAAACCTTAACTCTTCAGTAACTAAGGAAGTGTGGAAGACAAAAAATCTAATACATTCAGCAATACATGAGTTTAATCCTTACTAAAACTGTTACACTAATGAAAGCAGATAAGTCATAAGGCACAGGAAGATTATGAATGACATGCCATGTTTCCATGGCAACATTACACAGCCCTTCTTAGAAAAATACTCAATTTTGGTGGTTTCGGGTGCAAAACTGCACACCCCCTTCCCTTAGGCTTCAATGTAAGTAGCAATGCTAGCTTTAGAGGACAGCTGAAACTGTTCTTTCCATTGGGCTTAGAGGCTATGACTGTTCAACACACTGTTTTGCACTGTCTGAGAACTGACAATTTCATCTGTTCTTCTCAAACTGGTATTAAAACTCCTAAAACATTACCAAATGGATTGGTAGAAACAGGAGTCATTTTCACACTGAAGAGTAACTGTATATGCTCTGTTGTTTTTATATCTAGTACACCCACACCACCTCTACAGAAAGCCCAAGGAAATACTAGTAGCATCAAAATATCTAGTAAATAGCCACATATTTTGTTAATTAATCAAGCTTCAACACTCTACTTCATCTAGAGGCTTTCAGTATCTCCTAGAAATGAGTGAAGACCAACCAATTCATCCTTAGCTAGAAATGACAGTGCACCAGTTTTGCACCCACTGGTTCACCTGAAGGAGAAGAAAGATAAATAACAGCATAACATAATATTTTCTGATTTGCTTAATCACACCGATGTTCTAGATTGAACACACACTGAAGTCAAATTGTACTCTAACTTGCATCTTAAGCCACACAGTAAAAGCGAATATTACCGTTGCATTAGCAGGCAACTAATTCTGAAATAGCTTTTGTTAAATGACTGCATCCTCACTAGATATTTCTTAAAATATTATAATTAAAAGCATCATTCTATAGAGAAAAACAATAAAAACAAAGTACACTAATACTTATATGCATACATGCAGATACACTGCATTTTACATACATATGCAGTTTACATACCTCTCCAAGAGCTTCATAGCGCTTCTGGTTCCATCTATGCAAATCTTCACGATAGTTAAATACAAATGGCTCCCCAGTTTTTGCATGTCTTAACTGCCCTTCTGAAAAAGAAACAATATCACTACATTTTAGAGTACTTCTTCACTAAAAATAAAATACACTACACTGCTGACAATTTCAGAAGTCTCATATTTAAAAATCTGGATATTATGAATTCCTTCTGGTTTTTTTTGGTATGTCTGAGGAAGCCAGCTCCCCATTACCTTTCATCAGAGGGGGAACACCTTCCTTGTCCAGTCTCCTCCTGCCTATGTATTTGTAGAATCTAATCCAAAGGTATATAGTATTGTTTATTTAGCTAAATACAAGTGATGACAGTGAAATTACATGCAGGTATCAAGTGTCACAGTGTTTCGTAAGAAATATTAAGACTCAAGCTGCTATGGATGAGGAGTGAAATATAAACATTTACAGATCAAATACTGGTCAGCTACATCAGCTAGGTGATTAAATTGTAGCTACAAACTGCCTACCTCAAAACCAGCCATGTTTTCGAAAGAAGTGTGAGAACAAATTGGACTAATGACTGGAAAGGAACACTTATTTTCAAAATTAACATATCACTGAACCACAACATTGTCGGAGTTTAAAGGGACCCTAATGATCATGGGGACCAAACCCCCTGCAAAGCAAGCCCCTACAGCAGGCTGCACAAGTAGGTGCCCAGGTGGATCTTCAGTATCTCCAGAGACAGAGAATCCACAATCTCCCTGGGCAGCCTGTTCCAGTGCTCCATCACCCTCACTGCGAAGAAGTTCCTTTGCATACTGGTGTGGAACTTCCTGTGCTAAAGTATGTGGCCATAAAACATTTCTGTTAATCTGAAAAAAACTCAAAAAACAAAAAAAACCACCCTTGTCCACATTTAAGGTAAGGATCTGTATTCCTGACACAGTATCAACAAGTAGGAAATCTTCGTTAGAATACACTGAAATCATAACACTAGAACAAAGCAGAATCCTCAACCACAGCAAAACCACTTCGAAATTGTACATTCCAGTGTAACTTTCTGCAATTGTCCTTCTTTATAGAAAAAATTCAGTAGCACATCTGACCACAAATAAAGAGTTTGACTGGGTTGAAATAACAGGAATAAAATGGCAGCCAATCAGGAAACAAGTTGCAGAAATGTTATCTTACAATCAGTATTTCAGCTGATTAGAAAAAACCTCAAGTTATCTCAGAGCATCATAAAATTGCAGAGAATCAGAGAAATGTTTTTTTTTTTTTTTTAAAAAAAAAGCAAGTATATCCTAGAAAGCTGAAATGTCTACGCAACGAAAATAAGATTTAACAACTAAATGTTTTTAAACTGCTAAATCAATTCATACATTTTCAAAACTTTTGAATGTTGATTCCTGGTGTTTTAAATGATATATTTAAGGGCTAATACCTCTTAAGATTTCTGCCTATAAGTCTGTTTATTTGGCATTTTTTTCAAATCTGTCTTACCTGATCTCCAGTTCATTTTCCATGCACTAGTCTCCAAGGAAATATTTCTACCCAATGTCACATCCCTGTCTTGGGTATTCATATTTTTATTTTTATATATTATATAAAATATTACATTTTATATATACATATAAAATATTTTTATATTTTCATTGTGACTCATCGCTCAGCTGTTCATTTTCAGCTTGTTACTTTTCAATTATACTGTTCAATTCTAAATGAAATAGTGCTCTCCATAAGTAAGCTGGAATATCTATTTATTTATTTATTTATTTGTCTTTCTGGTACTCTTGTCCTCTCAAGATCCTCTCAATCTCATAAACATCATCTCTATTTTTCCCATCACAAAAAAAAAAAACATGTTTATAATTAAAAAGTATAAGACCAAACATGTTTATCACTTGTATAAAAGCAAAAGAGAGATCTTTTTCACCATACTGACCAGCAGTGTACATAACAGTGTCTGCTACATTCTCTGGAAATCACTCATCCTGTAAAGTTAGTGATGGAATATTCAGTAACATTATTTTAGAACATCATTCACCAAAATTCAAATTTCAGCTCTTTTTATCAACCATATATGAACCATTAACTCTGAAGTCAGTAAGGAAGACAGTAGACACTGTGCAGATCTAAAAATAAGGAGCTGAAAAGTGACAGAGCTGAACCCCTCCCATCAAAGACAGAGCATCACTTTCATGACACTTTTAGTCTCTAAGTACCTTCCTGTGAAAGCCATCAGGGTATTAAAAAGCTAAGTGTTGCATAAATGACTATCATTTAAAGGAAAGCTCTTTCTTCCTTTAAAAGTGGAAGATGTAAGACAGGCAGATTTAGAAACTAAAGTTCCTCTGTTCACAGAACAGACACTGCAAAGAAGTAGAATTGTAAATGTCCCCATTTGTCCTACAGGTTTCAAACAATCTTGAAAGAGCCCTCTTCCTGAAGTCTGGTATTACTTTAGCTCAGTGGCTTATCTCTCAGCTGGATTTTAAAATGTATGCACTGGAAATCATAAATATTACTGCTCATTTAACATATACATTCAGCTAGCTAATCTGACTTTCAGTCACAGAAATTATCTGTAATGTAATAATCTATTAAAAAATATAACCTACAGAAGAGCCAGCCTATCACACTGCTCATTTGCCAGTCACTATAAATATATGTGTTGTACAGTATTGTAGAAATTGAAAGATTTGATGGTAGTTTCATGAAATAAAAAAATATATATATTACTTAGGTAGATTTACAAGGCTGTTATCCTACAGCTTAAAATTTTACTCTTAAAAGAAAACTGTAGAGTTCTAGTAATGATTTATAATGTATAATTAAACTGCTGATAACCTCTCAACATAATTTTAAGGATAGCATATATGACTTACTTTCATTAAAAGTGTACTCAAATCCTTCCAGAGTATCAGGAAATTCAAGTGGTGGCTCATCTTTTTTCATCAGTTCATCCAAGTCTATTCTAGACAATAAATCTAAAAAAGGAAAACAAAAATTACATTATACATGCTATGTCTTCTTTATTTAGTTATAATCGCTGAAAAAATCAGTTTATTAAGATTACCAGTTCTTAAAGACAGAAGGACAACCTACACAATAGTAAACATATAACTTAATTATTGGAAATTTTCCTCCAGCTTCAATACCTCTGCCTCCTCTACAGCAAATTTATTTATTTATTTACCTGTCTATCTCTAATGTTGAGCAGAAAATGTCCAGAAACAGACACCATCAAAGACACAACGATTTGTTTCAATGATTTGTTACACTTAATGTTAGAAATCTGTCTCTGGTTTCTAGTATGCATCACATTTTTACCATTAATTCATCCAGTTTCAGTATCATGACATTGATACATTCCCTGCTTGAAGAGCTCATATTATCAAATGCACGCTGTCTCACAGCCATCTACAAGCTGCAATTATAACACTTGTTACCCCTCCTTTTCATTCCCCAACAGGCTGTGCAGTCTGAATCCTTCTCTTGACCACGATCCTTTAATAATTCCCAAGGCAAAGAAAATAATCATCAATTTAATAGCAAGCCATGATATGTACATTCCTTTCAGATTCCTTGTTTTCTAAGATGATGTATCCTGATACAGCCTGTATTCATTAATAAAAGAACACTAAAATAAAGCCAACCTGCATACTTCAAGTCTATATTTAAGGATTTAGAATTAACCAGCAGCAAGAATACAGGAACATCTTTTGCTTACTTCTAAGATATGAATGCATAAAAATAGTGGTGTACTATCATCTCCTCACTGCTCATCATGTACACAAATATTATCCTTTTAACATACTTTCTGATCATTAAAATACGATGATTAATAAAATATCAGCACAAAATAATTGAGCAAGGTTTCACTGAAAAGTATTTCCCTACTTTTCCATACATGATTTTGAAAACCATGTAAATATTCAGTTCAGACGTGCTACACTGATTTTGTACTATTATGAATATAATTTCAAATATTATCAGTGAAATGCCTTAAAAATTCTAAGTACATTTATTTATTACCTTTACCATCTAAATTCGTATCTCAAAGAAAATACAACTGTTTTGAAAGGCTCATTTCTTTAAACTTGCTTTGTTTGACATTAACCACCCTTATATCTCTTAATAACTCCAAATAATTATTTAAGTAGGCTCTGTATGACTATTTTTTTATTAGTCTTGCAGCCAGTAACGATCTTGTAAGTCACCCCCATTATCTAAGCCTAGCATTGACACACAGGGCAAGGGATGTGTCCCCCTCTGCTCTGCTCTTATGAGATTCTATCTGCAGTACTGAGTCCAGGCCTAGGGCCTCTAGCACAAGAATAATGTAAAGGTATTAAGAGTGGGTCCAAAGGAGGGCCACAAGGATGATCAGAGGGCTGGACCACCTCTCCTATAATGATAGGTTAAGGAAGTTGGGTTTGTTCAGCCTGGAGAAAGCTCCAGGGAGAACTCACTGTGGCCTTCAGTACTGAAGGTGAGCTTATAAGCAGGAGGAGGAATAACTTTTAGTGAGATCTGACTGTGACAGGACAAGGAAGAATAGCTATAAAATGAAAGTCGGGAGATTTAAATTAAACATTAGAAGAATTTTCACTCAGAAGGTGGTGAGGCTCTGGCACAGCTGCCCAGAGAAGCTGTGGTGCCCCATCTCTGGAGGCACTGAAGGCCAGGTTGGATGGGGCCCTGGGCAGCTGAGCTGCTGGGGGGCAGCCCTGCCCACGGCACAGGTGCTGGAACTGGGGGGGCTTCAATGTCCCTTTCAACTCAAGCCATTCTATGATTCTATGAAAACTGCCTTCAACTGTCCTGAATTCTAAGTGAACAAACCCAGGAACTGTCTTCAGCTGATCTGACATTCATTCCAGCCTCCATACAACTGTTTCCAACTCCGCCCTCCCTAAGTTATTTCACTGGGTAAAGCTGGAGAATCCTTGTAACTCTAAAATCTCTCAAACTCATATTGTGGTGCCTAAGCATCACTGTGGTATCTAAATAGCTATACAGTAATTGGAGGTTGTCTAGGAGATTTCTAAATGCGGCTTTTAAAAACCACAGCTCACTTTTTCAGCAAATCTGTTTCATCAAATTTAACATGGGACAGGAAGTCCTCGACATTCCATTTACATAATTAATCTTCAGCTTGTTCTTCTGGCTTGTCCTTTGAAAGTTCTTAGCAAGTCTCTGGTTCTCAACCAAACAACAAAATGATAAAGAAGAAAAAAACCAGTAACTTAGTCGAATAGTTGTTTTTTTTTTGTTTGTTTTTTTGTTTTTTTGCTACAGGGCACAAAAAGCACTCCCTTTCTTCCTCTGTATTTTCACAGTGTGAAGATAACCAAAATAGTCAGTAGCACTTTATCTGTTCTTAGGGAAGAGACTCCAGACACACCTGTACAATTTAAACGCACCAGAATTTTCATGTCTTCTTGATTGGAAACATGTTTACAAAGTGTCAGTTACCATATGTAAAGAACTCACCTCTTGAGTACCAAAACCAGTGTACTATAGGTTGCTCTGAAAAGTAATGCCTCCTATTTATTTCCATAGACACTACAATAGATACAAAGAGCACAATAACATTATTTGATAAGACCAAATTCTCAGCTACAAAGCATGTTTTTCAACATAGTCATCACCAGCAACTATGCATTTTTGCCAGTAATAGACAAGAGCCTGCAAGCCCCACTCAAAAATCTATTCCAGTGAAGTTGACTCACTGTTTCACAGATGATACAATGGCATCACTGACAGGAAAATGTTGCCCATGCAGTCCATCTTTCAATGCCCCAAACAGTTGGAAGTCAGAAGGTGCCTATTTGTCCTATACAGTAGGTGTGGTGGGTCAGTCCAGCCAAAATTGATGATGTGCTCTACAGTCTTCAAACTGGTACAGGGCCTTACATGGTCATATTGGAAGAGAACGGTTGTCTTCTTCTCCAGTATGATTCTGGAAGTTCAAGCCTTTATTTTAGTATTGCATCTTGACACTGGTAATGATGTGTTCCAGGAACCTGTCACTTTCAGTCTCATGTGGATTCCTTCATCCCCAGGCTGGATATGGCTCTGATCAGACTGGTCTAGTGGCTGGACACTCTGCAGCAGGGGGATTGAAACTAGATGATTCTGGAGGTCCTTTTCAACCCAGGCCATTCTATGATCCTATGATCTGGGTTCAATAGGTACTGACAAACTTTGTCCTTTCTGTTCTTGCGTGAGCATTCTTAGGATGCACATTGTGCAAACTTTGCAATATTCCATTGTTTACAATGAACTGCAGCCAATACTCAGCTCTGTACAAAGTTCCTTGCTTATAGTCCACTGACTTGTGCAGATGAGCTATCAAGCTTCATTTCACAGTGTGGCAGTTGTGTGTGGCCAACAGAAACACTGCTCATCTTTCCTGTCATTGTTCTGCTGCTGAAACACACAATCCAGCACCTCACTGTGCTCACATCCACAACCTGGACTCCATCAGCATTCAGCAAATGTTAATGAATGCCAGTGAGTGCCATTTTTTCAGCATGGAGCAATGCAGTGACACTCCTTTGCTCCATAAGCCCTTCAAAGCCAGACACCATTTTACTATACTGCCCGTCTGCTGCCATCTGTCACATGGCAACAACATGTAAAGCAATATCAATAGGAAGGTTCAATCACTACTATCATACCACCAACATTCACCTCTGACATCACGGTCAACATAACAAACTAGGAGGCATTACTTTCAGAGCAGCCCTTGTAAATGACGTACATGAAGCGTATCTTCAGTATTTAAAGCAGCTCTTCATTTACATCTACAATCCGAGCCTCACAGGAAGACTTCAATTGGCCAGTGGTCCAAACACTGAACCACTCACCTTCCTGTGTCATTTTTCCTCTCACAACTAGCTATAAGTGTGCTAGCAAACTCTTAGATTCTTTCAAGATCTGATCAATAGTTCTTTCACTCTCAAATTCAATTACAGTCTGGTTCAACAGAGCTCAGATTTGAGTGATTTTCAGGGGTCCTTCTTTCTACAGCTTAGTAGGAGTTCACCAGGTCACATGAAGAAAATCACACCTCCCACTAAGTTTAAATTTCTAATTATTAGTCATTTCTTAAGGCACTTAAGGGGAAAAGCTTTAAACTAAAAGAGATGGGATTTATGTTAGATGTTAGGAGGCATTTTTTTTACTCAAAAGGTGGTGTGGCACTGGCTGCCCAGAGAAACTGTAGATGCCCCATCCTTGGAGATGTTCCACACCTAGCTGGATGGGATCCTGGGCAGCCAGATAAAGCAGCTGTCACTCCTGCCCACAGCAGGGAGTTGGAACTAGATTATCCTTAACGTCTCCTCCAATCTAAGCCATTCCCTGACTCTCTGATTCTGGTGTAATAATCCTTAATAGACAATCAAATTAATGTCAAGTTTAAAATTGAGGTTTTACTTTTCCAAACATTAAGTAAAATTTCCTGAGCATACGTTCAACAAAATTAGTACAGATTTGAATAAGTAACACACAGGTTGTCACCAAGCCTTTCTCAAATACACAATTCTAAATTAAGAAACACTATTTTCTATCACTGTATAACAGAAGACATATTTCTAATAACATATCTGTGCAAGTCCACTCTCTAAAAAGTCACCTATTGCATTTATTCTTCCTCTTATGAAATCTACTACATAAATCACTTAGATTGTGTGATTTTTGTTCCTGAACATAAAATACAAAGAAAATTCTTTAAAATCAGTACAGATATAAATGTCCTGAAAATGGTTTCCCTGCTAACATACCACAGTTAAAGGGATTTTTAAAAGCTGTAATACGGATAGTTAATTCTAAAACATAAGTGGCACAAAAATTAAATTATACCTTCCAGAAAATAAGATCACAAAAGTACCAAAGGATAATTATGAAAATTATAAAATTAATGGATTTCTTACTCTGCTACTGCTTACCACAGACCATTATTTTTAAATCATCTTATAAAACTACTGAAAATGGACGTTACACACACAGTCTAATCGTCTCGTCCAGTACTGCAATTCCGAGATTCTAACCCACAGCAAGATCAAAGTACTTTCCATTCCTTAATATTAATAACTGTTTCTGAAAATTCTGTATACGTGAAAAGAAGGCAAAAGTATTCATACCCTTTAATGCAGTAGTCTTTTCTTTTTCATCAGGGACTCCTTGCTGGAGTTGAGCCATCATTACCCAAGCTGTCAGCAGATTTAAAATACTAAAATATAAGTGCATCTATCTTCAAATGACAATCTGAAAACCAACAAGTTAAACATTAACAAATTTGACTTTAAGGGATCTTATTTCTTAACACATATATAAACAGAACTGCACATAAAACAGGACTCGTTTCAAAAACAAAGCTTCCCTGAGTATAAGAACCAGCATACGAAGTAAAATTTAAATAGACTTTTTCCTCTTCTTCAAAATGTATACTGGACAAAGTAGAGTGTCATCACACTATCGCAGATTTAGAAGTTTCACAATGTAGTGTAACACAAACTCCTCAATCACATGGGGTCAAAGATTCAAATTCACAAGAATAAATACCAACTTCGCCCTAATACTGAAGGGACGTTGATTTATTCAACAATCATTTACTGCAAATTTAAAACAAGATCAGTAAATGCTTTTTGGAGAAGCACAACACTTGAAAGGCCACAGTAGAAAATACAAACAAAACCAAACATAATTAACAGAACTTCCAAAATCTCTGCAGATTTTTCTACTTCAATTACTTAGATTTAATTATTCGTGCTGTATTTTACAGCTTTCAGTTTTTACTAAAATTATAATAAAGAGTATATAGCTCAAAACCATTATTTCCACTGAAATTTATCCAGTAAATGTCCAGGTACAGACTAGGTGTCAGTATCCATACAAAATGGGCGTCTAAATTTTTTCCTAATGCACAGAAGGCAACCCAGACATTCAAATCTGCAATCCCTTTCATCTTGAATCTGACACCAAGGGAGCAAACTACCAAATCACAACCATTGCTTCTCCCTTTTCAATAAAAAGACTTCTATGCATTGAGTTCTTTTTTCCTTCATCCTTTTAGTTGTTTCATCTGTCAGTCCTGAACAATTTGTTTAACTCTTTTCCACAATCTGTACTTCATCATGGGCGAACCTGCATGAACTGCATCCCTGCAGCAACCTGCAACTTTCAAACAAAAAGCAATACGATTTAACCACTGTTCTAATGACTCCCTGAGAGTTGCAACCATAAAGAATTCCAAAACGTTTTTTAAGTAGTTCATTGTAAGAATAGCAGAGAAAAACAAAAAGAAAACAACAACAACAACAAAAACTTGGTAAGGACAGAGTAGCAGAGGATGAAAGTGTCTTTTCTTCACAGAAGTTATTACATTAAATTAGAGAAATATTACCCAAAACATTTTCTTGTAGATTAAGGAATAAAATAACATAAGAAGCTGATAATTATTAACTAAGGAGATTTTTTTTTAAGTTGCTGTTCAAGACAGTTTAACAATCTATTCTAAAAGTTTGGCCGAGGTTAGACTTTGATGCCTTGCTTGGTGGTTCCAACAAAGCTGCTGTGAAATGAGAATGCACTGTCCAAGTCTCTTATAAGGAAACTTCTACTTCGACTATGCACTTTAAAAACAATAAAATAAAATGGTACAACTCTACACGATTAAGTTAAAATGGCCATCTTGTAGGTAACACTTTATCATGCTAGCAGTGACAACACAAGTAATGAATAAAAAGGACAGGAAAGCCACAGCTTTTTTTTTTTTCTATTTTCTGACATATAACATATTCAATATAAATATTAAAATGGCTCGACATTGATTAGCATGCATGGATTTTTTGAACTATGTTTCTCAGATGCTTCCAAGTAGTTCACTGACAAGATGATCATATAGAATATCTTGCCCATCATCAGTCTGTATATTTGCAGCATAAAAACATATACATTCCAGTTAATCACATCAGAGAACAAATGAAATCATTCCAATTACATTTACTGAAATTGCCAGAAAGTGACAGTGACACTGATTTCTGATAAGTCAGGTGAAAGTTATCCTTCAGTAGTCCTCCTTATAGGACATCTGAAAATTCATAATTGAATATAGTTCAGTTAACGCAGCCACAAGTCACAAACAAGTGTTTAAAAACATGTTATTCACCAGCTTAAGTAATACAGAATTTATCCACACAGATTCACCTTCATAAAATAATCCCCACTAATTACTCTGAAAAATCAGTGCAGTGACAAAGAATTTCAGCCATTTTTGTTCTTCCAATATATACCTGTTAACCTATGGAGATCTGGTCACTAAGGAAAGACCAGATAACTTACAGGCTCACTATTAAATTTAGAAGCACCAATTATAAATAAATAAACCTCAATTTAACTTTGGAATAGAATTTCTAGTTCTTTTTGTCAAAGTAAAAAAAAACTGTTACAGCAGCCACTGGAGGGAGGACTTGATATTAAAATGAGGATGAAACAAGCACACAGAATTTTATGTATTGTTTGCAAGAATTCAATTGAAACACTCACTGATATTAGTTTAAATGACAAACAGAAGAAATTGGATGAGAGGGCTGGATTTCCTTTCTTTCACAAATAGATGTTGAATGAGCTGGAGTCTGACGGTCCAGAAACAAACAGTGGAAACATTACAGAGCTCCCTGAATACTTACTCAGTGCAGCTAATTAGATGATCCCTTTATAAAACATCTTCTATTTGTTTGCTCCAGTAGCTAAGACAAGCACATGACCTAAAGACAACAGTTATTGTTTCCATGAGAACTTACATTATTTTCCAAGTGTCTTGCCTTTGCAATCAAACTTCAGTGATCTATCAGAAAATATATTACACATATTCTTCAACCTCAATGTCTAGCAATACTGAATATCATTTGGCATCATAAATATTTTGGCTTCGCATGAGACAGGAAGCATTTTCACTAGACTCCTATTAATACAACTGGTGGATTCACAAATGATCACTGAGTTTCAAAAACAAAACAGACTTTTGCACATTATGGTAATATGTACACATACTTCATGATCTTTTTAGTGAAGTAGTACCAGAAGCCTGGATCTTGACAGTGCTTGATTTGAAAACGAGCAGTATCAAAGTATATGTTCTACTGTATTCTGACTCTGAAACAAATGCAGATAAATAGATTTTTAGACACTTTTTTTTTTTCCAGCTAGAAATGCAGGAAAAAAAAAAAAAACAAAAAAACCACAAAACAAACAACAAACAAAAAACCTAAAACTTTGTATAAGATTTTGCCCTCTACATTAGCGATAGTTGAAATAAAGTCAATGTTTTGTGGTACAAATATTCCATGTAAAGGACATAAATAATTGCAATGCTAACCCATTACAAGTGCAGCACAGAAGAAAACACTGGCACTATCAGGAAGCAAAAATCCATATAGTTTATCTGAATATGAGTTACCAGAATGCCTGGTTACAGTGCTTTATTAGAAGACAGCTGAATTAATCTTGCTTTTTGTAAACCGACATTTTAAGGAAAGGACGAGTAGGGATTAGACTAGTGCAGTGCTCCTGCTGAAATCAGTTTTACTTGAAATAGATATTTGGATGACAGCTGGGTTCTTATTTCTTTCTCTGTACAGGCTCAGAAAAAGCACAAAATACACTTTGTAATCTGTAGTTGGTTTTTTGTTTGTCTAATTCTATTTTATCCCTGCTTATAGGACATGACATTCAACATCAATAACATTGCTTCAATTAATGTTATACTTCACTTTCTTCTACTTACAAAGACCTTATTTTCTTACACGTTTCCCACACTTTAGCTCTGAAGGACAATTATTTCCAATCTGCTTTAGACTAAATGGTTTTGAGTAGGTTCAGCTAAAATGTCAACATCTTGTATATGAAGAAGGTTCAGAAGCAGTATCTTTTACTCAGTTTTGCTGTTAATGAGCAGCTATGGCATCTCCATGTTGCAGAGATCAGAAACTTTGCCAGAGGATCAGTTTAGCATGCAGTGTGTGCCTCTTCCTTCTCCCCTTAGAGCCTGCCCAGATCTGCACAAATAAAACTTGCTTTTTGCACACATTTATTACAGACTTATTAAGACTTATCAGAATTTCCACAAAATTTACCTATTTGCCTAGAGCACACTCTGTACAGTTGCAGAAAACCAGAGGGAAGACACACAGGAGGAGAGAAATAAATGTTAGAAGAGCAGGATCTTTTACCACTTGAGTACAAATAAATTGGCAAGAATCCCAAGTCCCTGAATCTTGGTATATCTTCACATTCTAACAAATGGTGGTGGGATTTGCTGATAAAGTACAAGACTGCAGCTGCCACTAGAGTTTGATTTATTTCCACACGATCTACCTTCTAATGTTATTTACCCTTAAGCTTAGTAGGCGTTTTACTATGAGCTATATGCATTAATGCACCTATCATGTCAAGCAACATGGCTTCATGCGCTGAAATTCTAATTATTCTAGTTCAACATTCTTGAAATGTTGAAAACGACTTCCATAACCATATGCCTGTAGATCAAATAAACATGTTAAAAGGATACAAAAACAGGAAGCACAGCCTCAACATAGAGACTTACATGATGGTCTTATCGTTAACCAGCAAAAGGTTCAAAATGAGCATCTAAGAATTTTCTGCAGCAGCAACATCAAATGCTTAACACGGTACTCTCTAAAGCACTGATCTTCCATATATTTTAAGTGTGTAGAAAACCCCATTTCTTTGGAAGACGCAGATGGGTAGTGTCTACTGAATCATGCAAGTAATTTTGGAGACAGAAAAAGCAATCCTGCAGCAGAGACACAAGAATGGTGCCTAGGATAATTCTGCTGAAGGAAAGAATGTGCTCTTACACGACTCAATTCCATTCAAACAAAATGTTCTCAGATAATTTCTTCCTGTACTTCTTTCATTTTCTGGGTGTTCAATCCGCTTCAATGCTCAGAACCAGGGATTGCAAGATGCCAGTTTTAAAACTTCGAAGAATCTTCCCTACTTTTTTCAAGCTCAGCACAACAGGTGAGTCTTTGCCGCTGAGAAGGGCAACAATTTCATGATCCCTCTTCTACTATCATCTACCACAGAAATGCCACTGAGAATCCTCTACACACAATAGATGATAGGAAAAATTCAAGGAATCCGTGTTGATGAAGAACTACTGCTCTGCAATTAAAGCCTCAAAAAAAACCCGTGTAATACATAGTAATGTTATATGCAGTATAAGATTTGCATTGTGTTGTTCCACAGTACACAGGACTACATATCAAGCAATGGGGACAAATAGAAATGTTGAAGAAACACAAATTTGGCAAACAGTTGTGTGCGAAATGGTCTTTTAATTACAGAATCATATTTTCTCACAGTGTACATTGCAAGGATAAGTAATATTGGCACAATATTACTTCATAATTGCCCTGTGACAGTTTATAAAAAAGAAAACTGTCTTGGATGAATTTTTAAGATGATTGCCTTAGACTGCTGGTTTTAACAGAATTCTGGCTTGAAAGATGGGGTGGAGAATACTGACTCTCAACAGCCTCATCTCTGTACATACTAAGTAGTTAGAGGACAAAGCCAGAATTTTTAATCTTTTTTTTTAATGTCAGCTTCTCTCAAGCAATCCCATGGGTCAGCTGGGAAGGGAAAAAGGCCTCTAGAAACAGAAAAACTCTAAGACTATTAAAAGAGCCTTCTCTTAGGAGAGACACCAAAGTAATTTACAGGACCACTACAGACAAAGAGGGAGAGACTAGAAAATTCCCGGGAAATCATTTCTGCTTTGGCTACCATCAAAAGCTGCCTAGATATGTATGTATCTAGTACTTTAACTTTTTCTCCCCGTCCCTAGCTCTGCTCTTAATAGTTTGCCTTTCAAAAGAGCTACGTGCCATTAATTGAAGACTCTTGAAAAGACAAATGACAAAGTAGCTGAAGATCCATTGAACACAGGCTGTTAGCCCAGATCCTAGCACACAGCAAAGTATTTTTAATCCTCGTGAAGACTCTCAGCTGAGAGGGAGCGCAAAAAGAGCCTAGGAAAGAGTAAGGGGCGCCTCCAGCTTTCTGGGACACACCTCTTTATCTCCTCCCAAAAGGTGCACATGCAAAGAATTAACATCACCCAGACTATTCTGCTTCTAACAAAAATACAGCAGTATCTAAGACCAAAGGAAGCTATTCCAAATTAAATCATATACAAAAGAAATAGGCATGTGAGGCTACTGAAGACGTCATTTTATCATCAAGACCCGCTGCTTTGGTATCAGACACCCCAGATTCTCACAGCGTATATACCTCTTCTTTGCAGCACTGTCTGCCTCAGTGGATCTACCCTACAGCTCTGCCCACCATTTCTTCCACCACAAGAGATTTCTCCTCTTTTTGGCGTTTTTCTCAGCTTTAGTAATATTGTACCTCATATTTCTTTGCCTGCTCCTCAACCTTAGAAGCAGCATATATTTTCTGGCCAACTGAACAGAGGAGTACTGCTTCATTTCAACCACCTATCATGCAAAGCAAATAGCCCTGTGAAACACATGAAGTCTACAAATTTGGTTCTGTGGGATTATCACTTACCAGCACCACATTACATTATAAATAAATGATATTAATAATATAAACATATCATCCATTTAGTCCACAATTTAAGAACAACTTCATCTTAAAATTCTGATCAGCAGCTTTCTTTCGCTTTCTACTACAAAATAACAAAAAGGACCAAGATAAAGCAAGGCAAGTAGATATGCATCTTGTATAAACTTCAGAAAAATGTGGAAAAATATTCTACTAATTGCCTACTTCAGTAAGTACAATCAGACTTCTTTAGATAGCCCTGCTATTGCCTTGTCTCCAAGCTTTCTGTATCTGCCCAGAGTCAATCATGGCATCATGGAGCAGAGTGGTTTGGAAAAGATCTCTAGAAATCATCTGCAACAACCTTCTGTCACAAGCATGGCCTATTCATCAGGTAATCCAGCATAATGCCAAGATAAGCCTTCGCTATTTCCAGTAAGGGAGACTCCACTGCTCCTCTGCAGAACTTATTCTAATGTTAAATATTTCCAATAGATTTTCTTGTCCTTACATCCAGATGAAGTTTCCTGTCTCACCATACATCCTTATGAAAAAGAAACTTAAAAAGATAACTTCTTCACCATAAATACCTTCTAGAAATTGGACGACTGAGGAAATCATTCCAACTCTTCTCTCTGCTGAACATCCTTGAACCATTCTTCAAATGCCAAGTTCTCTAATCATCCTGGAGGCTACCTGCTATATCTACAATTTCACATCTGTCTTGAACTGAGGAGACAAACAAGATGAAGCACAAAATCACCAAGATTGGAAAAGACCTACAAGACCATCCAGTCCAACCATCCACTATCACCAATAGCTCTCACTAACCCATATCCCTCAACACAAAATCCAATCGTTCCTTGAACATGTCCAGGGTCGGTGACTCCACCACCTCCCTGGCAGCCCATTCCACTGCCTGACCACTCTTACACAGAAGTAGTATTTCCTAATGTCCAGCCTAAATCTACCCTGGCGCAGCTTGAAGCCATTCTTTCTAGTCCTATCACCAGTTACACAAGAGAAGAGGCCGACCCCCAGCTCACTACAACTCCCTTCAGGAAGTTATAGAGAGCAATGAGGTCTCCCCTGAGCCTCCTCTTCTCCAGACTGAACATTCCCAGCTCCTTCAGCCTCTCCTCATAAGCCCTGTGCTCCAGACCCCTCACCAGCTTTGCTGCCCTTCTTTGAACCCGCTGCAGGGCCTCAATGTCTTTCTTGCAGTGAGGGCCCCAAAACTGGACACAGCACTCGAGGTGCGGCCTCACCAGAGCTGAGTACAGGGGGACAATCACTGCCCTGTTCCTGCTGGCAACAAGGTATACCTGAGGTATGCTCCTACTGGTACAGGAGATTAGTCAATTTGCCCTCATTGCCACAGAGGTACAGTTCTAGCCATGTACAGACAGCTGTCCAAAAGGTTCTCTAGCTCCTTTTAGTAGAGCTATATCCTAGCCAGGCATTACGAACCTGTGGTGCTGCTTGGAAATTACACCTGTGCACATTCACAGTGAAGTTGAGCAGCTGTAAGAAATGGTTTGTGTT